CAGGGATTGGCGTGTCGTACGGCATGGCAAGGACCACCTATACCATTAACATGCATTATAAACCTGGCCAGGGTACCGCTATCCTTTAAGTGTGTATTTTTTCGTGTAACTGTGTTGATACCTGTGTGTCGACCCATTTTGGCTCCTTCCCATCCTCTTCGTCCACACGGCCGTAGAAATGCACTGGCAGCATGAACTCAGGACGGTCTTTCTCCCAGGGGTTACCGTACCTCAACCAATCATCCGCCTCTTCAACCTAACAGACAATGATACAGAGATGATGAAAGAGGACAACAGTGCCGGTCTGCACTGGAGGACATAGTACTCAAATCTAGGGCAGGTTAAAGTTCAAATGTGTCTATTTTTCGAGGGAGCTGGCGAGGGCGAGCGGCACAAACGCCCTCGTGAAGACAACGGGGTCTGGGCTCGCTTGAGCCACTGAGACGAACATTAACCGCTCCTCCATATGGGGACGTGGAGGAGTAAATGTATATACATGTAAATATTTTCAAAATATAAACTGTATGTGTGTGTATTTATATATACATAATAAATAAAAACAGTACCCATACATATAGTATGTAAACAAAAACGTTTATTTTGGACGTAATTAATCGCGATTAATCGTTTGACAGCACTAATTATAAGTAACTAAAACCTACAGAAAAATATATTTATTTAAATAGATTTTTAAATCTATATTAGCAAAATGTTTTGACACTTTTTGTACTCTGAAATATATTTAAAAATATATCTGAAAACATAAAAAAATGCATGAGAAAATATAAGTAACTAAAATGTATCTAAAATATATTTATTTTAAAATCTTTATTAGTGATAAATTTTGGCATTTTTGTATTCTGAAATATATTTAAAAATACACCACAAATACATTGTTTGCTTTATGGGTCAGAACTACTATAATTAACTGTATTATGACATCAGAAGCTTGCATATGAGAACTTTTTTTAATTAATAAATTAAGGAAATCTGGGTGAATTCACCTGCCAGCCATCTTTGATTTTCTGGTTGAAGATTCCATACTCATATCGGATCCCATATCCATAAGCAGCCAGACCCAGAGTCGCCATGGAGTCGAGAAAACAAGCTGTGGATCGCGTACACACAGTAAATATTGCTCATTTATATTAATACGGTAAATTATTTGTATAGTGTACGTGTGAGAGAGAGCAAGAGAGAAAGAGAGAGACCTGCTAATCTTCCCAGCCCTCCGTTCCCTAATCCGGCAACTTCTTCCATCTCTTCCAGATCCTCCATATCCAAACCCAGCTAAAAGGAAAAAGAGAGATTTAAAGAAAGCCAGATGCACAGATGGATAGACAAGTGTTTAGTCCTCTCTCACCTGGTAGATAGCCTCATCACAGGCGTTCTGCAGACCCAGATTAATCATGGTGTTCTGGAGCGCCCTACCCATGTAGAACTCCAGTGACAGGTAATATACACGCTGAAGCACACAGAAATATAAACAATTTAAAAATCAAACAGAGCATTCTTGGAGTGTACATTGGGTGCAAATTATGCCAAATTATTTTCCATCACAAAAAAAAATATATAGTGATCTTACTTAAGCCGTGCATAACTAGAAAAAAAAATGTATGAATTTTCATAACTTTTCCAGGACTGGAAATCACAATAAGTTGCCTACTCTAAAATATGATTATTATTATTATTATTTTAATAAATTAAAAATTCTCTTATATATCCAGGTTTGTCATGACAGTTTGAACCCTGGTAATAATCACAAACAACTGGAACAAATACATTATTTGAATCCATAAAACTTACTTGTAATGCATTATATTTCAAAGATTTAACCCTCATCCGTCCCTCCCGAACCTATAACAAAAGTGTCCCTCGTGGGTCAAAATGACCCGAAGGCCAAAAATGACACTAATTTTATTTTTGGTCCAGAAAGCTTATATTGGAACATTTTTATAATTTTTTCCCTAATTTTTTAATGTAGGTTTTTCTATTATTTTTTGGTGATTTTGATCATATTTACCTTTTATTCTGGATATTTTTAAGAAAACATAAGCAAATAAGCAGTTTTTGTACATTATTTCACACAAAAAAACAACAACAAAGAAAGACAGTCCTGTTTCATCAAAAACCAACAGATGGCCTTGGAATTGAGTCACTGAGTGTCTCTGATGTCATCTGGTGGGGAAAAATTACATAAAATTTGATGGTTACAGCCACTAGAGGGGCCTATATGAGAAATGAGATAATCTTAAAGCTTAAATTTGGTTGTTTATGGATTAAAATATATATTGAAACATTACAAAATCCATATATTTCGTAAAAAAAGAAAGAAATTCTAACTGAATTATAACCTAAACATATGTATATTCATACAATTTCATAAATATGAAATACATATATAATATATTTTAAAAAATATAAATATTATATAAACTCATTGGTCTCCACCACATCACTCAAATCTAACTGTGTTAAGTAAAAAAAATGGAAAAATGACAGACATATCCCAGCAGAAACATGAAAAATATTACAATGTGTTCTATGAGAATGAAAAATGCAGTTTTCTAGTAAATTCCATTCATTCCTATGCGGGTCAAAATGACCCGTGATCGAGGGACACTTTTGTTACTTTTTTTTTATTGCACCCATTTAAACTCCTCGAATCCACTCAAATTTGTGTGTGTGTGTGTGTGTATTCCTGGTGCAAGTCTTGGACCGGTACGATCAACACACGATTTTTAGAATTGTTTTGAAAAAACTATTTGGGTCAAAATGACCCGAGGGACGGATGAGGGTGTTAAGCACCTGACTTAATTAACCTAACCGACAGCTTCACTACAACCTGTTAATCTCATAATAATTAAAAGTGAAAAAAACAACGGTTTTTTTCGTATTGGTAAAACCATTACCAATATGTCAACGTGAAAATATCTCTTATATTCCAATAAAAGGGTACTCTGTTAACGTAATACAAATCAAATTTTTCCAAATTACATTTCATTCCGATAATTTTTGCTGTGGCAAAAAGTTTCAAACAAATTTACCACGTGACTTTAAAGTAAACCGGACTCGCCTTGGGGTCGGCCTCATAGTAGAACTGCTGTGTTCGGATCCAGCGGCCCACCAGATGATCACGCACCGTGTGCGCGAGCGCGAAATAATAATCGCGCGGCGTCGTGACGTTCCTGTCTTTGACCAGCGTGAAGTGCAGGTGCCGGTTAAAGCCCTTCTTCAGCTCTGCCACATTCTCCACACCGACGATCCCTCTGATGCTGATCTGCTTGCGCTTCTCCTGGTCCGTTAGAGGAGTCGCCATCCTGAAGATCACCGGCTACACCGAGCACCGGGGGTCACGAGCCTCGTATTTTTATAGGAGGCACCGAGGGAGGAGCAGAAACTCTCTCTCTCTCTCTCTCTCTCTCTCTCTCTCATTGGACTTATTGAACTTTTTTTTAACCATGGTAAACATACAGCATACAGCCAATACAGTCACTTGAATACACATCTTCTATGATGTTTTCAGTTTTTTTAATTAAAATTCATTTTGATATTTTTTGTAGGGCTTCAGTCAAAAATGTCTCTCAGACCTAAGATTTTTTGAAAAATGTAATAGTTAAATTATTATTGCTTCTTAATAATATTGTAACTGTAAAGTCATAATTAAATTGTTATTTAAATTATATAAACCACATAACTACAAAGATTTAAAACATAAACAGTAATAAAAAGATTTGCTGTTGCAAATTTCCACAAACTATTTTGGAAGGGAAATGACAGAAGATAGTTTTATATTGCACCTAATCCAGTTTATTGAGCATAGAACTTTACAGATAACAACAATTCAGACACAATAGTAATAATAATAATAATAATACATTTCTTATATTGGGATTAATTTATGAAAATATACAATTTACAATGGGTGAAATTTTCCCTCACTGCACCCAAACATTCAATTGTTTGTTGAGCAAAACCATCTGCTCAACAAACAGCTAAAGTACAGCACTTGCCCCATATTTTAACCCCACCAGTGGGATTTTAAATATTTTTCTTAATGCAAAAGTACATCCTTTACGGTAAACTAATAGCCAATGCTTCAAGCAGCTACAATGTATGCTGTCTTGTTTAAAGTTGTCTCTCTTTTGGATTTGCAGCTCTACTCTTTAATATTGCAATATTTTCTCACATTGAACATAAGCAGCACCAGTTATTTGTTTAGCATTTGCGTTTAGCTTGTGCGGATTTGAGGCAGCAAAGGAGAAATAAAACAGAGAGAGAGAGAAACAAAAACTTCATTCATTCTCATCTCTCCATAATACGTTACGCAAGGCTGTGAAAATGCCTGTGTGTGTGTATGTGTGCATGTATTTGTCCCAATTAGTGTTTTCTATTCTGTTCAACAAACAGAAAGCCATTACCTCCTCACTGACACACATTCAGCTCATTCTGGCATTGTCTAATACGTCCCAATTGTATGTTTGCTCATCTACTGTGAATGCGGCAGGATGGAAATATCGGGTTTGGGTCAGGGTTTGAGTGTCAGGGTAGGGTTTAGGATGTATAACATTAGCTAAGGCATAATATACATGAAGAGATTGTAATATTAGATATTTTGCTCTAGTTTCTGTCCCCATCTGCAGTTAAAATCACCTGTATATGCAACAGAACAGTTCTATGTAATGTAAAATGCATCCTCTAAGGTCTAACACGTCAGTAACTTATGTCTAAGCTTAACTTCACACAGAGGATTTTTATCATGAAACAACAGAGATCTGCTAATATCCAGTAATCTAGGAGTTCACATCCATGAGCACCTTTTCCATAAAAACAACGATGACAACAATAATAATAATCATATCTAGAAAAAGTGTAAGAAAGAGAGAAGAAAATGATTCAAGAATTTCAATATCAATTTACCTCACATACATCAGGGTCAGAGTTAAGGTTAGGGTTAAGTTAGGGTTTAGTTAACCATAACCCTCACATACCTTGTTAAAACGTATTAATGACTCAGCAGCAATTCCCCCGCCAAGAACTCACAGCTGAATCCATGTGCACCTGTCTGTGCGTGTGTGTACATACAGTATGTATATAAGTGTGTAATGACTCTTCAGCAGACTGAGCCTGCAGCTTCACATTCTCCAGGTGTATAAAAATCAGGAATAGGCAGCCCAGAATGAAGAGTCACCTATGAAAAGAAACACACACAAAAATTATCGCTCATAAAAGCCTTTTGGTTTAAGTTAGTATATTAGTATATATACTTTCTATATAACTTTTTGAAAACAGAAAGAAGGAAGTGTGTTGCATCATCACACAGTCCACACAGATCTCATTACATTAGTTTTCACTAAAGTGTATTCTTTTAAGTGTATTTTTTTCCGTTACTCTCTTTAAAATGCTGAAGTGTACTAAAATGCTTGCAGTGAATTAATGAAATGAATGTTACCTGAACGTTGCGGTTGAGGCTGATGGCCGGGTAGTACATGCCCTCCAGTGTGTTGAAGGCAACGGGTCCCTGTTGCTCATCATTTATCAAAAATAACAAAATCCCACGAGAGAAATCCAGCAGCACACCCACAGTCGCTCCTTTACGTATTCCTCCATCCGTACTGAGAGAAGGAGAAAAGAAAGAGAGAATAAATGAAAGATGATGCACTGACCAAATAGAGTGCAAGACCTATAATAGACGCTCATGTTTGACTCAATAAACACCTATAAAATACAAAACTCATTTACACCAAATAATGTTATTTTTTAGCAACATCATATGACCCCTTTAACATTTGCATGTTGTGTGAGCATTTCCTTTCCTCTGCATGTGAATACTATAAACCAGCAGCAGGTGGCAGTAATGCATCACATTTTTAATCTACTTGTAGTTTTGCTAATTTCCGCCACAAATTAACTACCAGTTTCATCATTCCATCATATGTATTCTGTCTAAAACAGAATTCTGTCTACCCCCCAAAAAAAGATAGCCAACCATATGTCAGCAAACGTGAACATGCACATTAATTAACAGGCAGAGAGCGTTTCAGATATATTTGCTGTTCACAGAGCCTAAGGGCTGTCACTCAGACAGGTGTGATTTCTCAGGACACCTATTTCAGTGATATCCCTCAGATAGTAGGGACATTTTAAGCATGTTAATCCACACCTATGGCGCCTTAGAAATAACGTTCAGATCCAATAGCAGATTCTACCACAACATCAATGCACAGGTAAAGAAGACACTGAAGGTGGGAGAGTATGAAAGACAAAAAGAATGAAAACAATAAAGCATATTGTTCACTGTGACTGTGGGTGAAGGTGTTATTTCTATATTGCCAGCTGATGGTGTGATTTATGAAACCGTAACAATAGGATTGTATTTGCAATCTCCAGAGAAATGCTTTAATTTTGAAATGTCAGTGGGTGTATTTTCTGTTCTGTTTTGCTGGATTCTTCTATGTTGGCATCTTGTCACAACATTGGCAATAAATTTGATTGAAATTTCACAAATATATATTTTAAACATGTAGTTTATGAGTCATTATGTGACTAAGGACTATTACAATGACATATAGAGGATATACATTTAATTATTAAAATTAGCTTCATTCATTGCTTCATCTAAGATATGTATAGCATCCACTTTGTAACCAAGAGCAATAGTGAACATTTGTGATAAGGCACTTTATCAGGCTTTTTTTCCAAGAACTTAAAAAGTTATTGATATCTACACTGTAAAAAATTTTTGAAGTTGTAAATAAAACAAACAATTATTGGAGTATGATTTATTATAAAATACTACTACGGTTTTTCTACTTCAAAATTTCACATTTAATTCAGTGTGTTACTTGCTGTTTCTTTGTAACTGTGAAATCTATTAGCAATTTCAGAGTGAAAATTGTTTCTACACCAATTGTTTTTCAGTGCATGAGCTGGTAGATTTTGCTAAAAACCGTGAGCAACATGGTCTTTAATTGGCAGTGCTTTTGAAAAAGTAATAACACGATGTATAGAAATTTAATTGTTTAAGATTCTCATGATAATCATTTAATCGAGAAGTTGCAAAACACACATGCACACATAGACAAATGTATTCATACCGGTTGGTGTGTGAGTTGTTATGCATGAACCAGGAGCGGTTGTTATCCACATACATGGCCCAGGCTTTATCATCCTTCCCCAGCATCACATCCTTTATGACATCAGCCCGGGCGATTCCAAACGCAGGGTCAGGGTGGTTGTCATAGCGATCGATGGTCATCTCCCAGTAGTGCACGCCACGAGAGAACCCTGTGTTGCCCATTACGACACGGTCGTCGTAACTGTTACACGTCACCGTGAGGTTGTCGTTGGACAAGATGATGTCAGGGTGGGCTGACGCAGGGTCAAAGGTGAACCAGGCAACTGCAGAAACAACACACACATACACACATACGGTCATGAAGGCTGGTTGAGCTTTGATTTACAGTAAGAATAAAAGTCCAGATGAGTTTAAGAACACAGAGACACTGCAAATCAAACTTGCAAACACACACTCAGTCTCTCACTCACACACACACACACACACACACACACACACACACATATTCAAGCAGACAAGAAAGGGTATATGAGGTTAACATAATGATGAGGTTCAGGCATTCATACCTGCTGCCAGAGTTTTACTACCATATGAAAGCAGACTCACTGAAATCAAGAGAAAGAGGGGAAAAGAGCGAGAGAAGGTTGGAGAGATAAAGAAACATGGAAAAGGCAGAGAAATGCAGAGGACAGAAAATGTAGAGGGGTGGAAGGAGAAAAAAAAGAAAGTAACAGAATTGGGTACTGAAAGAGAGGAAGGAAAGCAGCAGATCAGGGAAGCTGGACTTATTCAGCGCTTACAAGTGATAAACTACTAGAGCGTTAGTACAGTTAACAGCACAATGATATTCATTTATATTAGTAACATACAATTAGACATACAATGGTGCTCATAAAGACCTCTACACAGAAGACTTTCAGTGTGACATCACTGGCACTTTCCATGAATAGGGCACAAAAAAAATAGTTTTTTTTTTTTTTTTTACATTAAATGATCAATGGTAAATGCTCAAATTTCCGGAGTTCAAACTAAATATTATAAGACCTGATTGATTTTCTATTTATTTTAAATGATAATTTTGCAACAATGCAACAATGTGTATAATTTACATTAAGCTGTAAAGTCTAACATATGATAAAATAGCTAGAAAAATCAAACTTTTTGAAATGTAAGAATATAATAAAAATATATTATAATATGATGTAAATGTAAAAAACATTTTTGTTAAGTATCATATTTGATACATCAGGCTTTCATGGCTCATATAGTATGATACAGGAGAATATGGAGCTTAAATTCAAGGAGGGAAAAAAACACCAATTTTAATAAGCAATTTTATTTTATTCAATTTTAAACTGAGCATTTAGAAATTATGTGCAGTTGCTGATATTTATATGGAAAAAGTTCAGATGAAATTCTGATAGTTTGCAATACAATAATGATTGAAAGTTATACTAATAAAGGTTTCTCAGAAGCCTGATGTATAATTTTTCATACTTTTTGATAAATATACAGCATCTATACAATCTGAAAAAAAAAATGATATGTATAAAATCTAAAAAGATAAAGTTAATGAGTTTTGAACAATGTTTAAGAGTGATACATACATGCAAAACTAGCTACTAATTAAATTTTATGTTAGAAACTAGTTTATCAAATGTATCTGATGGCCTAACAACAAAAATGTATGCCTCTAATTCCTTAAAAAAGACACCAAAGTATATCCTATTTGTGGAAACTGCACACTATATTTACATTACTAATAAAATCTGCTGTATTATTTTGCACTGACATGCTCAAGCTTCCCTGTGCATTAAGAGTGACAGCATTCAATAGTAAGTGTGTGTGTGTGTGTGTGTGTGTGTGTGCAACAGTGAGATAACATCTCTTACTCTCTGATGTCTGCATGACAAGCGTTTTGCTGTACTGGCCGACTCCACTGGAGTTAAACGCTTTAACACGAGATTGATAAGCGCTGTTGAAGTGCAGACCGTCCACAGTGCAGATCATCTCTGTACCAACGTACACTTCCTGCAGAATACACACTTCAGTTAGTAAGCACACATGGTTAACAACCTATGTTTGTAATGGATACTGCTTGCTGTATACTGCACATTATATACCGCATACTACATTTTTAAACAGAAGACATGAAACAGTATATGTGTTGTGTTAAAATGTGTTAACATTTGGCAGTCTAATCAAATATTTAATGAAAAAGATGTTAAAAACACCTTTAATATTACTTTGGGTTTATTGGTCACACTTGAAATGGATGGCCAGATTGAGCACATTGCGTTGTGGGATATATTGTAGTACCCAACACACAGTGCTCTGTTGTAAACGGCATTATGACAAACAAATAAGTCTATGGCTAGAATCGGAAAAACGTACTACTATTACTGTAGTAAAAGTAGTGTGCTACATCAAATTCACACTACTTTTCAAAATGCACTTACATCAAAATGTGGACAAATTGTATGCAGAAATAGTAGTATGTAGTATGCTATGTGTACTCTGTATTTCTGCAGTATGTAGTAGACACACTTTGCATAGTTTGCAAATTTTCTATATGCTGATGAATATCTTGGGAAAAACACAATGTGATACTGTTGCTAAAAATCGACCCGAAAATGGAGCAAATATGAGAACACATGAACCTGGCTTTCTAAAATAAGAGCTTGGCCTGTTTAGAGGATAGTTGAGTGTGTGTGTGTGTCAATGTGTAGATTACAATGTATGTGTCTGAGAGAGAGTATTTCAATGGTAATGTGTACATGTGAGTGTGTGTGTGTGGCTATATGTGGTATAGGTGTCTTAGATTAATTGCAGGTGATTCATTTTGTGATCAGAACACTCAAATCAAATCATTACTCAAGATTTTTTTTGGGGGGGAGGGTTTTTTTTATTTATTGTTTATTTAGCAAGGATGCATTAAATTGATCAAAAGTGATAGTATAGACTTTTACTGTATGTTGTCACAAAAGCTCTGTTTCAAATACAGTACATGCTGTTCTTTTGAACTTCCTATTCATGAAAGAAACCTGAAAAAAGTGCATCACAAAAATATTAAGCAGCATAACATTGATAATAATAAATATTTCTTGAGCAGCAAATCAGTATATTAGAATTATTTCTGAAGGATCATGAAGACTGGAGTTATGGAATTCAGTTTTGCCATCACAGGAATAACTGATGGAATAACAGGAATATTTGAAAATATATTTAAATAGAAAAAGAGTTATTTTAGATTGTAAAAATATTTCACAATATTACTGTTTTCTGCATTTTTTATCAAATAAATGCAGCCTTGATGAGCATAAGAAACCTCTTTTAAATCACATGAAATTAAATCACAAGGGGCCATTTGTGATGACAAGTGTAAACAATGAGTGACAGTAGTTGTGTGTGTGCATGCATGCATGCATGTGTGTTCCTATAAGTGTGTGTTTGTGGGTGCAGTGGTCCTCTAATATATAAATAGACTTCTGCAGTGAAAGGCATGAATCATCTTTAGACTAAATGTGAGATGAGACACCATGTTTGTGGACTTGACTTGATCTAATGGAAATACATGCGTGTCCCACGTAACTCACTCACTGAACGTCACTCATTCTGACTGCTCACAGCCAAATGACAAATCCATGCTCAACAATATCACTTTATTAATACAATGCACACTGACATCGGATGAGTGTGTACGTCCATGCGTATACGCATGAACAATGTTTACTCAAATGTTTCTTCCTTTAGAGCAAAACCTCTTTCTCTTGGACAGATCATTGAGTCAGCTGAGCAGAATCATCATGCAGTGTTGTCTGTTTCGAGAAAGAAAAATAATATTAGACCAAAACAATAATATTGTATGGTCTCTGCAGGATTCCATTTGCTCGAAATAGTCATTATTATTGCAATTTTGCTTGGTGCTGCGATGAAGTTAAAATATTTGTACTGGTGTATGATGCAGTACTTTTATCACGGATTTAATCAGTGCTGTGTATTTCCACACAGCTTTAGTTCCATACTGAAAATTAATGTGTGGAGTTGAAATGCTGGCTGTTCAATTTAGCCCCAATTTATGAAATATCAAGCTTTCTATCCCCACACTTTTTTTACATTCAGCTCAGAAATGTTTTTGATGTGTATCCAGAAGCAACATGCCCACTCAAAATCCGAACTGTCTGATATCTGGACAATCTGATCAAAAATAATCTAATAAGTAAGGAATAATTGACTCCGGGCCGTTGAATTATTAGAAAAATAATGCACACCCGAGGTGGTGATGCGGCCACGACACGAAGCGGAGTGGCCGTTACACCTCGGGTGTGCCTTATTTTTCGAATAATTCAACGGCCCGGAGTCAATTATTCCGCTTATACTACGGTTACCACACCTCAAGACATCGATCAGATGATATATTTAAAGGGATTCGTCCGGTTTTTGTACTTAAATCGCTATTGTGAGTAGGATTATTTCTTCCGCATCTCACCCAATGCCTCTTTTGCTAGTTCCAAAACGTCATTTGAAATAATTGCACACCTCAGAACGTTCGTCAGCCAATCAGATTCAAGTATTCAACGGCCCAGTAGTATAATTCTAATTGCAATATAGCGACTTCAGAATGGCTGAAATATGCTTTTGAGCAGCAGAATAATTAAGATTTTTTAATTGAGATTAATGTTTTTTAAAGAAGTCTGTAATGCTCACCAAGGCTGTATTTATTTGAGAACCAAGTCAGCATATTAAAATGATTTCTGAAGGTTCATGTGACTGGAGTAATGGCTGCTGAAAATTCAGCTTCGCATCACAGGAATACATTTTATTTTAAAATATATTCAAACAGAAAACAGTTATTTTAAATTGTAATAATATTTCACATTTTTACTGTATTTTTGATTAAAGAAACGCAGTCTTGGTGAGCATAAGAGACTTTTCATGCTTTTCAAACTTAAAAAAAAAAAGAATCAGTAATGCATATATAATCTTGAGAATGCAATATACAAAAGGGTTCACTTTGTGTACTGTACGTGACACTCACTCTGAACTGGCCTCCATTCCCATCATCCAGTTCTAAAATGTAGCCGTCCACAGCAATGGTGGAGAGAGGCGGCTGTTTCCACGACAGAGTCGCACTGTTGGTTTGAGTACAGCACTCCTCTAACTGAAGAATAGGAGCAGCTGGAACTAAACACACACACAAAGCCACAAACAAAGACGGACGGGGTTATTTTTCTGTCTTACAGGGGCCAGTGTTCTGTCTTACTGTGTCATTAAAGAAAGCCATGCAAAAAATGAAACGTCCAATCACACACACACACACACACACACACTCACCCTTCATCTGGACGAAGTCTAACTGGTGTATGGTCTGCAGCAGGGGTCCGCTGTCCAGTGTCAGGTCAAAGTCACTGCTCATGCGAGGGGTCAGACAGCCCTTCCCCCACTGATTCTCTGTCATATGGACCCGTCTTATCAGAGCATCTGAGATCTACACACACACACACACAGACTGTGATTCAGAATATATTACACGGCATTAAGTCAAATGAATGAAGTGCTGCCATTACGTAAATGTATGACCTTCTGTTAAATTAATACGAATCCTCGGAGCAAGAAACATTTTGTGATCGGAAAAGTTTTGGAAGGCAAAGTGTCATTAAGCAAGAGTGCTTGTATTTGAGGAAAAGTTTTATAGGATCACACACTTTTTAACGAATACATTTCCATGACCTTACCATGCTCTTTCCACTCATTTATAAGTAATTTCTAGGCAGTTTTCCATTTGTATATCAGGTACCAGTCTTTTTTAATTTTAGTGAATTGTACAAAAGTCTTCACTATGGTCCTCAACAGACCAATGATGTCACATTGGCTTACAACCAGTTTTGCACAACACTCACAAAGAGCAATATAATAACATCTAGTATAGTTCTGGCCCCGACAATTATTTTCATGTTATGGTTGATACATGAAAAAGGGTGCTATTAAATTTATATATATACATATTTACACAATAATACATACTGTATATATACACAATAATACATATACATATATATGTATTATTATAATATGTAAAAAATATAAAACTACTATATTTTATAAATAAATTAAAAATAAGACACTATAAATTCAAATCAAAATACTTTAAAAAATATGCATGTGAATGTAGACATCACCAAACTATAGAGTATGAAATAATGGCTGATGACTATTATTTTAATAATACAATTACATTTTTATAACGAAAATAATGGCTGATGACTATTATTTTAATAATAATTTTATCATTTAATTTTTATAACTATAGAGTATGAAATAATGGCTGATGACTATTCTTTTAATAATAATTTTATCATTTAATTTTTATAATTACTATTATTTCATTATTTTTAAAATTGTTTATTTCTCAAATAAAAACACTATTTTGTATAAATAAAAAATGATTATTATTTTAATGATAATTTTATCATTTAATTTTTAAAACTAGAGTATGAAATAATGGCTGATGACTATTATTTTAATAATAATTTTATCATTTATAAAATAGAAATAATAAACTATTTTATTTAATACACTAAAACACTTTTGTATAAATAAAAAAATGCTTTTAAAATGCTACAAGTTAAGTTCGGCATCACAAAATTAGAATTTGTTTGAGATTTTTTAATTATTAGTGTTTTTAAAAATTACCTTAAATAAGTGCTATCCAAATAAAAGGTAATACAAATAAAATAAAAACTGATGAAATGAGCATGCACAAACTGGCCAATACAGAAAAAAAAATAAAAAAAATAAATATGGTACCAATACATATGTTTCACCCCTAATACCTAACCAATGTAATATTTTAAAGCAGAGCAAAGGTTGAGAAAAACACTGTGATGAAGGACTCCACTGACTGATGAGAATTTCAGAGAAGCAGTCCGGTCTTTGGAAATCCAATTTGCTTTACATCAAACTGATTTGGATCTTGGTACACCCTTAAAATGGATCTCATGCATTCCCATCCATTAAAAGTTTGGTCTTTCTCTAGTGTATAACATCCTAACTTTCCAGCCCATGTCAGCAGATGAGGTTCATTAGTGCGATATTAAAAGGGTCAAGGACCTGCAGGAAGCCACTGGGGTCGTTTTCTTTGATAACTTCCAGACAGTATTCCATTAGTCCTGTGGTCTGCCTCAACTTCACCGTGCAGTGGGATATCTGATCACGAACCACCTGAGACAAAAAGGAGATAAAGAGGCAGAAAGAAAGAGAAAGAGAATGAATTCACGATAACTGTGCTGTGGCTAGGTTGCTAGGCAACAGCAGGACCAATAGTCTGCATCCTCTCTGAGCAGCAAACACATCACTGACCTTTTACAAAAAAAAACATTTTAACATCCATTTGCACTTCATAACTGCATATTTTAATGGATGAATGTATGTGTCAGTGTGTGCCTCTCCAACTTCTACTTAAACCTAACGGCTACATCTCTTTTACGTGACGCACAACAAGTACACACTAATACTCACACACACACAGGTCCTCCAAAGCTGTAAATGGTCTCAGAGAGCATCTAACCACACTGAATGATTCAAACATAAAACACTTCACATGAGAGCCATTCAAATCCAAACAGTGTGAGACAGAACCAGACAGAACTGAAGAAATGCAGTCTCATCTTGTAGAGCCTCTAGTCAAAACTAGAACCCCAACAACTTTGTAACCATGGGAACAGGCCTGTGGCACCATGGAGACAAGAAGGGAGAATAGGCCGATATAAGATGCCAGCAAAAAATAAATAAATAAAAAAAATCTCACATACTACTAACAGCAGGGGAGACCAGGACAATTTTAACAATATGTAATACAAGTCTCTGGTGTCCCCAGAATGTGTCTGTAAAGTTTCAGCTCAAAATACCCCACAGATCATTTATTATATCATTTTAAAAATGCCTATTTTGAGTGGAAGCAGGAACATGCTCTTTTTCGTGCCTGTCTCTTTAAATGCAAATGAGCTGCTGCTCTCCGCCCTCTTTTCCAGGATAGAGCTGCGCCATTACAGCTTGTACCTGCTAAAAAAACATCTGTTTTGGTTCTGATTATCGTTATGTTTATCGCGCTGAAATCATGCGTTTTAAACCATATTAGTTTAAACTTCTGATATACGGTTTTCTGAGAGCACACATCCGCAGCACACGGACAGAAAGCGGCTGTCACAGCATGTGAGTACTAAACTAAGTTCTCATTCACACACAAGTTTATGTTAAAAACACATGAGTTACAAAAACAGTCGGTTATGTCTGTGAAGGTAAACAGCTGGGAAATAAATCGCATGTTTATTTTAGATCTGTGTGGCAGCAGCAATATACAGCAAATAAATCTATAAATCCACTGCTCACTTGTCTCCTCTGAGGCTGCGACTCTAAATAGTGTTCTGTGCGCGTCTGTGCAGCCAAAGACAGAACAGTTAGCATGTTTTGCTCAAACTTTCGCCATGGCATTAGAACTAATACACCATTGTCGCTTGCGAAATAAAGTTCTGCATAATTAAGGGCGTGGCCACTTGAGTGACAGGTGGATTGCCGCTGCTGTCACCACTGTCGAGCTTGGTGGGTGTGGTTTCAGCAACCAACTCCCGTCTCTTTGCCCATTTTCGATTATCCGGAAGTGACGCGCTGCCAAGATGGCGACGGCCGGCTCTGCCAACTTTGAGCTTCAAAAACGCTCTTCAGAAACCTACGGGTGACGTCACGGACACTACGTCCATGTTTTTATACAGTCTATGGTTTTTTCAGACACTTGCAGAAAAAGGCTTACATTTACATTTACATTTACATTTAGTCATTTAGCAGACGCTTTTATCCAAAGCGACTTACAATTGCTAATTGTAAGTGGCTTACAATTAGTGGCTTACCAAAACAAAGTTACTGGGTTAACCTTTTTCACGTTTCCTTGGTTGGTAGATGCACCGGGGACCTGATTATAGCACTTAAAAACTGGAAAAGTCAGATTTTCATGATATTTCACCTTTAATGATGGATTTGTTTCTTACAAACACACAGTGTTAACGTACATTTTGACGGTACCCATTCACTGCAAAGGATCCACTGGTGAGCAAGTGATGTGATGCTAAATTTAGCCAAATCTGATCCAATGAAGAAACAAACTCATCTATATCTTGTATAGTATAAGGGTGGGTACATTTTCAGCAATTTTTTATTTTTGGGTGAACTAGTTTTTTAAATTTATCTTAAAATTTTTCACAAAATGATACAATTTTACTTGATTTTTTCAGACAGAAAGAGAAATCTACTACACATGAGGTAAGTTAATGTCATCACTCCAGCTTGTTTGTGATTAAAAAAAATTAGAGTTTTTTAAAAATGCTTTTGTCATTTAATTGGAAAAAAAGGGGGGGGGGATTAAATATTATAGAAAACTTAAAAGAAATGCTAAGCAATAAAAGCACTTCAAATATACAACTCAAATTGTACATTTGCATACATTTTAATCCGGACACGTCATTTAACATCTACCCACTGGAAGACAAAATCAGGGTCATGTTAGCGCATTATAAGTGACTAGACTTCTTGAGACTGTTTAAAAGCACACTGATTTTACATTTGGTTACTTGCCATTTCCCAGCTGCATTTCAACTAAAGAGAATTGCAGCACATTAACTATGGATGCAGACTCACTGGAGCAGCCTGGGATTCAGAGTCTTATTCAAGGACACAATGACTCGTGGTTAAACCTAATATCTCTGTGTTAATGGCCCAGATTTTTAACCATTAAGCTGCGTTCCCCCCACGATAGAAAACCTTTTTATACAGCATAGAAGCTTGGGCTAGAAACAGGCTGTTTTGACACACCAACAATGACTGCTGATTAGCCCTGCTGTCTGAAGCATGAAACTATTCTGAATCCAACTTTGGCAGAAAAGAGATTTAATGAATTTTTAATGGGGGAATAGAAAATATCCTCAGTGCCCAGTCATCTGTTGCCCTAATACAGAAATGTGTGGAGATTTCCATGAATATTAGTTAATAAACTAAACACTAAACTAAATTCTGTCATCATTTACCCTCATGCTATTCCATAGCCTACCTCTGAGTCTTTGTTTCTTCTGTGGAACACAAATGATATTTTGACGAATTTTGATAACAAAACATTTTTATTCCTATTGACTTGTTTTTGTCCATACAATGGGAACCAAAACAGTTTACTTATAAACATTATTCAAAATATTTTCTTTTGCTCTCCACGGAAGAATCTAAGTCTTACAGGTATGAAATAAATTTTTGGGTGGACTCAATGTGCTTTCAATGTATTTTACTATAGTTCAATCATGACAACTCTTGGAAGATTTTAGCATGGTGATGGATATGACAATGTTAATGTATTTGGTCTTGGCGGAAAACAGATCTGCTACGCTGCTGCTGAATTGCTGCTGTTGTTGGTTATTGCTGTAGTTTATTGCTGCTGCTGCAAGCAAGTACAGGAACTTGCTACTGCCAATGCATATGGAGATATGGTGCCGTGAGTATTTAAGACATGCTGCTGCTGCACAAATAGCATATAAAATAACCCTGTAGCAGATCTATACAGGTGGAGCTGGGGAAGGTGGAGAGTTTCAGAGAACTCTGAAAGCGCGCTGCAGGAATCTCAAGTGAATGCTAGCCAGCCATATAAATGCAAGGCAGTAAGCTCATTGGCTGCATATGCAGCATGAACCAATCAGCTTGTGCCAAGTCGTTTAACTCTCTGAATATCAGCAGTTACGTTAACACCCCGTAAGAATGTGCCATCTAGAGTTTCATGACTGAACTATATATTTCTATTCCTACAAACCTACTGAAAAATGCAACTGCATTCATCACTTCTATTAACACATACTAAAAAGCCTTAAGGTGGCAGTCGCTAAACCTCCAAATAAGAAATCAAATCGACTTGTGTGATTTGGGTAATTAGCACCAGATCCATTTTTTCCAACCATTCCTTTACCTCCAAAAGAGTACAGAGAGCTGTCATTCTGCTTTAGTTTTTTTTTAAATAATGAGCTCCTAAAAATAAGGAATGAGACCCAATAACTGAGAAATTAATGTTAGACATGCATGTTGAGGAACATTTAATCTCTTCAATGACTCACATGCATCTAGAAACAGCAGACTGGATAACTGATTTATGCTTTTAACCATCTTGCTGTGTTATAGGCCTAATGATAATGCATATGTATCCCTGCTGCCCAACTTCACTCCATAAACTTTAACAGAAACTATCCTGGGAGAATATGACTGCTTTCTTTTCCATTTTTCCACTGATTTATCTTACAGTGTACAATTCTTGTCACATTTATATGAAACAAATGGCATACTGTATTTATCTAAGAGACAAACTTCCACTGGGTTGGGGATGTTTTGTGTGGCTGTGCTTACTGAGAGTTTGTGTTCATGTTCTTTGGTTACTCTGCTGAGAAGCTGAGCTTTCCTGCGGTTGAGAGCTTCAATCAGAGCATCACACTGGGCGACCAAACATGCCTCGAATTCAACTCCATTCTCCTGAAACACAAGGTGAGGAAAGAATCAGATCATTAAAGTTGATACAGCACCGCACAGGTGTGTGTATGAGTGCAGAAGTGTTAGTGTACTGTATGTCATTGTTGTACCTGTATGTGTTGTACCATATTTCTGAGCTGCACCAGGAACTCTTTGGCCTCTGTGGCCCGATCAGACAGAACATTCAGTACTTGAGAGAGCTGTCCCTGGAAACATAAATACAGAAGGAGAGAGAGATGTGAGAAGATATAGGAACTATATATATAAAGAGCAATTGAACTTTACTAACCTAATTTTACTAAAGCTTTAGTAATGCATGGATTTAGGTTATGTGTGGACCTTTCTAAAGCTTTTTGGATAAACCAGTTCCAAAATTCTAACAACAGCCTTGACATTTGGAAAATAAACAATTTCAGTTTCTGTCTGAAATATTTTCAAATTCATTTTGTGAGTAAACTTTCTGAAAAAAAAAAAAAAAAATTAATAATAATAATAAAAAGTTCAATTTTATGCTTTTTTTGTTTTAGTACAATACACTACTATTCAGAAGTTCGAGGTTATTTAAAATAACTTAAAGTGTAATTTATTCCTGTGATGACAAATCTGAATTTCCAGCAGCCATTACTCCAATATTTAGTGTTCAAGAATCACATGATTCTTCAGAAATAATTCTGATATGCCGATTTGTTGCTCAGAAAACATTTCTTATTATTTTCAATGTTAAAAACAGTAGTTCCACTTAATATTTTTGTGGGAACCATGATACTTTTTTTTAGGATTTTATTGATGAATATAAAGTTTAAAAGAATAGCATTTTTTTAACTTTTGACATTTATTTGACTTTTTTGTAACAATGCAAAAGTCTTTACTGCTACTTTTGATCAACTGAATGCATTTTAGCTGAATAAAATAAGTAATTCTTTAAAAAAAATACAAATCTTACTGTACCCAAACTTTTGAACAGTACTATATACTATGTAAATCTTGACATTTTTTCAGCATTTTATTTATAAATGGCGCTTTATTAGTTTTAAGACCATAAAGAGATCCAATATTTTATTAAAATGACATTTAATAATTTTTTATCTTTACTATAATACATTTTTTTCTGTACTCTTAACACTTTGTTTAACACGGTTTGACATTCTATTGAATCTGCTGCAACAGGGAATCAGTGATGTACATTAAATGTGTTTATGCTAGAAAGTTGAGTTGAGCGAGGAAGTGACAATTTGTGAGAGGTTAGTCATTAAAACTGTCATTTAAAGAGTGGGTGAGAGAATAGGAAGAGGAGTGAACGTGCGTATGTGTGTGCGTCAGGCACAGTGGAAGGATGTTGCTTTAGAGTGGGGAAAATATCCCAATATAAATGTTCTCACATTGCTATGACAACCATCCGCCAAGAGACCTCCACTTTCATTTGTGGTCTGTTCTCAAACGAAGAACAAAAATGAGAGAACAAGGAATGAAACACAGTGCTCCAAATTTTATTCTATGGCCTACATACTACGTCACAGCCTATACACTACAGCATTACGCTCTAGAAGTTAACGTTACATACTATAGCCATATGACAGCCTCACACACTAAAGGCCAGCACATTACAGCACTGCACACTAAAACAATACATACCTACATACTAGACATACTAAAGTCCTACGATGAGAACCCAGCAAGTGCAGTGTTACAGAAACATCCTATCTTAAGCATTTGTCCTAATTGGGAGCTGAAATCACCATTGTTAGTAAACAGATAAGACGGGATTCTGGAGTTCAGTTGGTTCTGTAATAAGGGCCCAAGTGCTACAAACCCATTAGTTAAATAATTAGGGAAAGACACCAGAGGCAGAACCCTTGTGTTTTCTTGCACTGGTCAATTTTGAGATTTTGGGCTATTGTGCTTCCATATGTCTTATTTCAGATTGGTGGAGAGAAATCATCCAAAACACACATTTAAGAGTTCATTTTATTATACTTTTTGCATTTTCATTTGTAGATTTTAATTAAAACGCATATCTTTAAAAGGCCATTTTCTCAAAATGAGTTTTTCCTTCTGCACTGAGCCAGAAATCTCAACTTCAGTAACACTTACATACACCAAATTCTAATTCAATATTTTGAAGGTCTTTACAGAGGGGTTGTTCATATATCATTCACCTAATTAATACAACATTTTATGTCTAAAAATATGTTAAAAATGAAAAACCTTTAGCATAACATGTCAACAAAATGAAATAATTTATCCAATGTTCAGATTTGTATTCTGAAAAATGTATGTAAATAAGTGCATGTTTAATTAGATAATGCCTCATTTGTATATTTAAACATAACATTTCAGAAAACATGCAAAATAATTGTGTTATTGTACTGTGATTAATCAAGTATGGTGATCTATTTGATATTTACCGCATTCACCTGTGGTGTCTTGCGACTTGCCAATAATTGTAAAGCTTTATCCCGAGAGTTTTCTTACCTTGAAAGAGTTAGTCTCATATCACAGTGTTACACACTAGAATACCACATATTAGGGCCCAGCATATCACTGCATTACACACTACTACGCACTACTAGTTTGCTCATGCAATGAAAGACGTGGTCGGCGACAGGGGCAACACAAATATTTAGAAAACATGGTTGGAAACGTATTTCCATTTGGTGCACTATAGCGGCACAAAAATTGCACACTTTGAGAAAAAAGATGTAAATTATTAATCTTTGCTCTGGAACTCAACATGGAAATATCTTTCTGTTGCATTTGAACTTTACTATAAATCTTTAGCAATGTATAAACCAGTTCCAAAATCAAACGACAGCCTTTTCACTGGAAAACAAACAATTTCTGTTTATAATTTAGTGAACTGTTAGTAAAATCTGTAAAGTCTGTAAAATAATCATGCAAAATAAGCAAAATGTTTAAAAAATACAAAATATTCTATATATGGCAACGTTATATCTGACATCCAGGACTCTAGATACTGCATTGGCCATATCTGTGGACTACTATTTTACCAATAAAAATATTAAAATTGTAATAATTGGCACTGATGCAAAAAGCAGTAACATATTCCCTTCAAGTAAAAAGACTTTCAAAGCATCAACACATCACAGGCCCCATTTCCTGCTTGCTGTGTAAGTGTCTGTGTATGTAGCACAGAAAGATATGGAGAAATGGAGAAAAAGAGAAGCATATGGTGCTCTGAGGCTACAGCAAAACTACAATCTGTTTAGTGAATGACGAGCAAGTGACTGCAGTGCAGAAAGAGGCCATTTTCCTCTGATATGAGGCCAGCTCACCAGTGTTCAGTGAAACAGCTACATATGGGACCACAGTAGAGGACACTGATCCAAGATCTGATCTCTGTGTGTGTGTGTGTGTGTCCCAGATGCTAAAAGGGGGAAGCCGTATTTGGGTCTGCCGTGATGCTGCTGCTGTCCCAGTTCAAACTGATATTATGCAGCCACAACATCAGACATGAAGCACTGAATAGAGAGTAATGTAACTGAACACACAAAATGACGCAGCTCAACACTAGTAATGCAGTGCTTGAAATGTATAGAGTTGGATCTCTGCCACAATTCTGCAAGGGAAAGATCATATTTTGAACTGAGTTTTGTGGAGAAAATGTTTGTCTGGCAAAGAAGAAAGTATTTAGAGCGCAGTAAAATCAATTTTGCATTTAAAATAAGTTTTTGGATTTGTGCAGACCTTCTCTTTTGCGTGTGCAACGTTTCACTAGCTTGCTCACCTGATGCCCACCCTCAGTGCTCTCTACATGCCAACGGCTCGCTTGCTCAACACAGCTCAGCGTGACAATATGCCATAATTCCAGCCAATCAGAGACGAGGCTGCTAAATTAATAAGAATAACATACTGAAGTGTAGTAAAACACAGATTTTTTTTTTTAATATAGGCTTTATAGACAGATAATTTGAGAGTGACTCTTGAAGGACCAGCACCACATCCTGAAGAGTTTGAAGAATTTATCTTCCAGAATCTGGCAGTAAGAATCTGGCAATCTCGAGATTTTATCTGTAGAAGATAACCTGCTCATGTTAACTGCAAAAGAATTAGGAATTAAGGTGAAGAATTAGGTGTGAAATCACCAGGAACCATTTAGTCTCCAGTGCCACCATTTTCCAGAACTGCAATCTACCTGGAGTCTCCAGAAGTATGTCAGGTTGTTAGAGACCTAGGTTAAGTATAGAATCCTTTGGCTGGAATTATGGCATATTGTAACGCTGGGTTGTGTTGAGCAAGCAAGCCGTTGGCATGTAGAGAGCACTGAGGGCGGGCATCAGGTGAGAAAGCTAGTGAAGTGTTGCACGCGCAAAAGAGAAGGTCTGCGCAAATCCAAAAACTTATTTTAAATGCAAAATTGATTTTACTGCGCTCAAAAAAAAATTATTTGCAAAACGAACATTTTCTCCACAAAACTCAGATCGCGCGTGTGCAAAATGCACTTTTGCAGAATTGTGGCAGAGATGTAATCCCATAGAAATGCGGGGGTGGACACTGAATAGGAATGGTTTCCTATAGTGCCAGGTATAACTTTTTCTGCTCTCACATCTGTCTGCACATGAAAATGTCTCCTCACCTAATTCAAAGGTGACAGTGGGGTGAATATTAGTACCATATATCAGAGGTCAAGCCAAACTGCCAAATAAAATGCAATCAAATGCCTGAAATGTACTATTCTTAATAATTTTATTTAATTTCTAATTACAGACAGTCAAAATTAGATATACACAACTGTTCAAGTTTGGGGTCTGTAATGTTTTGAAAGAAGTCTGATATGCTCACAAAGGCTGCATTTATTTGATTTAAAAATACAGTAAAAACAGTACTATTGTGAAATATTATTACAACTTAAAAATAAAATTTCTATTTTAATATGTTTTAATTATATGTGATGGCAAAGCTGAATTTTCAGCAGCCATTACTCCCGTCTTCAGTGTCACATTATCCTTCAGAAATCATGCAGATTTGTGCCCAGTTGCATAAAGCACCATAAGTTTTTCCCTTAAGTATGGCGTGATTTCCCCTTACCCAAGGGAATGATTTAAGGGTGTTGCATAAAGCCACTAGAAGGCAAGCCTTCGACCATTAGCCGAAAAAGCGTAACGGCTAAAGCTAGCGCTTCCGGTCTGGCAGTATGTGGGAAAGGAGCATTTTTAATGGATGTCAATGGAGGAGTGGCTTCACTACGTAGAATAAACAGCTTTTTTAGAGGAAACGGCTTATCATTTAATGAATCGACAGCCTATCTGCTAATCTTCAACATGTTTTACACTAAACAATACTTTTGGATTGAACAATCAATTTTTAGAGTTTACCACAAAAAAAATGGGGTTTTATGAGAGAAGTCACTGACTTTTTGCGACAGCTGGGATTCAGCTTACGGCATGTTCATAATATCCATCCTAAATAGTGTGAGATTAGAATAAGTGTGTCCCAAAGCATAGTATGTTGAAAAGAGTATGCCAAAAGTCCCCGGATGGTCTACTGTTTCAGGTCAATTTTTGAAGTGTGGATCTGTGCACACTCTAATGGCTAATATTGCCCACAATCCATTGCGCTTTGGTGAAGACGAACACGAATAAAACGCATTAAAAACTACAAACATGGCGGATGTGCGCGACCGGCGGTTAGGTAGAGAGGCTTAGAAAAAGGGCTTTGAGTTACTAATATTCAACATTTAACCTGGTAAAATATATGTATTTAATGTTATCTGTGTTATATTTAATTTGCAACAGCAATGCAAACTTTTATAAACATCCGTTTGTTCGTTAATTTTTAAATGCATCATTATGCATAAAATATGAGCAGAGTTCTCGGCATGAAAGACCCGCGACTGGCAGATCAACGTGCTACTTCTTTTCTCTCCAATACGGTAGGAAGTTAAATGAAATGCAATGTGGAGGATGTTAACTGTGACAAGATGATTGACAGGCCAGTTTACAGTGACAGGGTGCGTGTATCTATGTGACAGAGCGTCTATAAAGAGTACATACTTTAAGGGCGTAGTATAAGTAGGCACATTGAGACGCAGCATGAGTGTCGTACAACTCTGACTGAAATTCAATAGACCAATTTCAGTGTTTGCAAACAGTGATGACGTTTTTGTGGGCGGAGCCTACCTGGTGGCAGAAAATGACAGTTTTAACGTAGCAGTCTATTCAAGCCACGGAATAAATAATAAATAAATAATTTAATTTTGAGTTTATATTGCAAAATTCTGACTTTTTTCTTGCAATTCCGAGATTATGGGTGGGTTGCACCAATAAGTATCTGGCTCAATGCGCTTAAATCTTCCTTTTTATTTGTAATAAACACCCGAGACCTCACAACACACCCTCTATTGTTTTCTTTGTTTAATCAGCCACATAATTGTAACTGTAGGTGCACTTTATTTAATTTAAACCTCCTCACCTGTAAATTTAAAATTAATCCCTAATTGAGATTTAAATCTGAGTTTAAAGTTATGGAGCAACATGATTAAAGTTAATCTATCTTAAATATAAATTAAATCCAGGATCAAGATGATGGTTTAAATGTAATCCTGCTTATTTTTAAACAAGGTTTAAAGTTTGGTGCAACGGAATTATTAGATAAACCTTGATTTAATCTAGATTAAAGCTTAATCCTTGTTGGTGCAACCCACCCACCCTATATCTCACAATTCTGGTAAGAAAAATCAACTCGTCATTCTTTCTTTTTAGTTTATAATCCCACACTTCTGGCTTTTTTCCTCAGAATTGACAAACTCGCAATTGTTGAGTTGAATCAAGTTATAAAGTCCGAACTAGGAGATATAAATTTGCGTTTGCAAGAAAAAAATTCAGAATTGTGAAATAAAATATTTAAATGTTATGTAAATTGTTATTGGTTTAAATAGTATTTCATGCATGTATTTCAACTGTGGGGCTAATACAATATGTCCCCTATATGAATATTATATAGACCTATTGTTTAAATCAAAAGTATGCTTTAAAAGTAGGGTAATCATAGCAGGTTTCATCCATAGTTTGTCCGTTTAAAGTTCTGCGTTTAGCTTCAAATGGCGTCTTTGACGACAGTATTATATAAAAATTATTTGCATTACGATTCTGACATCCAAAGGCACAACAATACATTTTTTCTCTTATTACATGGTTTTTACCCATTTCCTTCCACTTGTTCCCAGTGTTTTTATGCCACCACAATGCGCGCGCAGCTGCAAGTTACTTAACTGTGACGTCTACTCCAAATTGGTCTATGGCGTCAAGGCTGTAATGTGATTGGTTATTAAGGGACACGCGATCCAAGTTAGCCGTTACGCTTTATCCAATAGTAAGTAATAGAGTGATTTTTTTTATTTAAAGAGATTTACATATTAGTCCGTTTTATTCTAAGAGTATGTAAGATGGTTTTCAAACAAATATTATTTGTAAACGGTCTGCTTTTTCTGTGTTGATTTGTGTGTTTACACTGTGTGCTCGTGAGCTCGTCCTAAAACATGGCGGAATCCAATGTGGCGTGACGTAGATTCCCATTCTCTATAAGCTGAATAAAAAGCAGAAACGTAAACACAATAAACACACGATTGCAACAATATATGGTTTATGTGTGTTTTTCAAGTCATCTGCAGGTAATATGTAGGAAAATACAGGAACAAAATATTATAGAATATAAATTTGTTCTTGAGTGTGATGCACTCACATTTGAGCTAATTATGTGCTGTATGTAATTTGATCAATGTTTATATGTGAATAAATGCGTAAATTAAAATCTACTTAACATATAAAGCAGCCGGTCATGTCTTGTAGAAGACTTTTGTGTAACACTTAAGGTGACATTTTCCAAACCTTATGTTATCCTTAGGAAAATATGACATTTCACCTAAAGAAACCCATAAGTAACATTTAAGGGATATTTTATGCAACACCCTTAAGTGTAAGGGAAACTTAAGGGCGATCTTAAGGGAAAATTACATTTAAGGTGCTTTATGCAACCGGGCACTGGTGCTCAAGAAACATTTCTTATTATTATCAATGTTAACAGTTTTGCTGCAAAATACTTTTGTAAAATATTAAATATTAATACAAAAATGTTAAGCAGAAGAACTGCTTAATATCTGATAAATATAAAGCTCAAAAGAACACTATTTACTCTCATAAAGTTAATCTTTAAAGCACCTATAATTTAATAATACTGTTAATTATGATCTTCAGCAAATCTCAGAATGAATATCCATTTTCATATTATCATCGTAGTGCCTTAATTTACTTGTAGCATTTAGTTTTTAGTGTATAAAATGAATTTTAGCATTGCCCATTTATCACTCGTCAGCCATAACAATCATTATCATCTTATCATATCACCCAGAATATTTATATAGAATATTGAAGCATCACTAGGTGGTCTCACCAACAATTTTTCTAAATGCTGAAGTAATGTACATGGCATAACCTGTGTGAGCTGTGTTAAACCATGCACTTATTGATCCACCATCTTCCTCCCTGTTGATTGCTCATGTTTATGGTTTCTGATCAAATAAAATGGTCTTGCTGTGTGTTTACAGCTAAATTAACTCACTCACAATTTATTAACTCGCAAAATACAGCATGTTAGGACTAGGAGAGAGAGGGGGGACTCTTTCTTCATTCTTCACCTCTCCTGTGGATACAGTCTTTCTCTTGCACAGACAGACACACTAAATCAGCTCACTGCCTCACTGTATCATGTTGCTACAACAACAGGCCACGGCCACTGCAGTTTTACATGTTCCCTGAGGAATCCAGACACACACAGTTAACACGAGCATCCTGTACGGTTGAGTTCCCATCAACAGATATCTAGAAAATAACACAACCTCACAGGAGCATTTAACCTCCATCACTTTAAAACAGCACAGAATGTGCACTGAAGTTATGAGATGCCTCAAAACCCACACAAACATATATTTTCCATCAGAAGGTTTGTCTTGAATACCTGGATTTGAATTACTTTGGGGGGGGGGGTTCTGTTGAATCTAAACTGGAGAGCTGGTACGCAAGTGTTTTTCATTTGGCCTGAATCATGGCTGGTTGTGTCGTGCGCTGTGTTTTAATTAGACCGGTGGTGTCTCACCCTTCACAGTGACAAGTCTTACTGCACTAGACCTTTTATACCAAAACCAGAGTGCTCAGCCCACTGAAAACGGAGATTTGAGCTGGTTTTAAAATGATTTAGGGCACTTTTGAGCTGGTCGGGCTGCACATTCTTAAAAATAAAGGTTCTTTATTGGCATTGATGGTTCCATGAATAAGGTTTAACATCCATGGAATCTTTCCACACAAAAGGTTCTATATAGTGGAAAAAGATTCTTTACAATGTTCTTTACACAGTAAGAAAATAATGATTCTTTAAAGAACTGTTCACTCAAAGACTCTTTGGGAAACCCAAAATAATTCTTCTATGGCATTACTCCTTCTTTTGGAACCTGTATTTTTAAGAGTGTAGCAGACCAGCTTAACCAACTGAAGACCAATTTACCCAGACTGTGAGACATCCAGACAAGATGCCTTTTTAGTCATCAGTGATTTTTTTTTAATAGTAAACAACAATCTCAACCAGTTTCCCCACCTTGTGGAGCTTCCACATGGCCCCCAGCGCTTTGACCTCATGAGTGGCGTGTTTGCCGTCCTCCAGACACTGGTAGCACACGGGGGTCTTACACTGGACGCAGTACATACTCAGGTTCTCCAGCTCGTGCTCGGTGCAGGTGGAGGTCTTCCGGGGACTCGCGCGGCGGCTGATTCTTCCTTGCGCCGGCGGCACGAGCCGGTGTTTGGCTAGCGGACCCCGGGGCGGGTGGCACCGTAGGCGGCACGGGTCGCAATAGAACACGTCGCACTGCTCGCACATGACCGTCGCCTCGCGGGGGCTCTTCTCGCACAGCTGACACTTGAGCGCGGCCGCTTTACTCTGCTGGTACCGGTCCACAACCCCCTCCAGCACACGGTTCTTGGGGAAGCCCCGGAGCCCCCGGTCGTCCAGCGTCAGGCTGCGGTGGCACTGCGGGCAGGTGAGGCAGGAGTTCCGCGGGACCGGCGGCAGGACGCCGGTGTGAGGCAGCAGGTGGTGTTGCGCCTGGGGCTGAGGATGAACGGCAGGGGGGAAAACGCGCACCCCGTTGGGGGACTTCTGGCACGGGGTGGTCGGTGCACTCACGAACCCGCCGTAAGAGCCGTATCCGCTGTCTGCCTCGCTGTACAGACTCATCTTATCCAGGTCTAAGTAATCATAATCGGAGACGCCGGAGCCTGACGCGCGGCTGCTCTGCGGGGATTCGGCGTCGGGCGTCTGCACCAGGATGTTTCTCGCGCAGGCCAAGCAGATACTATGCGAGCACGGCAGGATGATCGGCTCGCGGAAAAACGAGCCGCACACCGGGCATTTTAACTCCTCTTCCATTTCATCCATCTTGTCGTTCGAGCCAGATACGGAGGCTTCCTGTAAACGAAAACGGAATATTCCCTCCGATGGCAGCTCTTCACGTACACGTCTCCTTCGCGTTCTCCGTCCTATGCACCGGAGGATAGAGGAGGGGGCGGTATAAATTCGGTGGGCGTAGGCTGACTCCAGCACGGGTGCACAAGCGCCAACAGCTACTGCATAAAATCGCTGTCAGTTTACGTGATGAGCTCCAGGAATCCAATCAAACTGATGATGCAAAGTATGGCAGAAGTGCTTGATGAATTTGAGACACAGCCAATGTTTGTGGTAGTGCACCTGCTCTAACAGCGCGCCTGATTTTCCTATCCAACACCGCGTAAGGTGTGCTTATGTAGGCAACATCAAGTCACTCTTCAGCTCTAGTGTTTGACAGTCGGAGCTAAAGCTGAAATGTTCTCTCCTAATTGCTAGGTGGTGATAATTGCTCCAGGCATAATTTCCATGGTAACCAAAAAGAGAGCAAATAGATCAAATAATACAAAAGAGAATGTTTTTGTCGATTCCGTCCGATATAGACGGTGAGCCAGTAGTTGTTGCTATGGTTACCTCTCAACAAAAACGATATCTGTTCAGACAAACTTGTTTGAAAACGTTGTATAGCTACGTATTTGAAAATGTGTAGATAGCCTATGATTTATCCTACAATGTTTTTAAGACAGCCATAGACACTTAGTGAGCAGTTGTTGCTATTTTCACCTCCCAACGCAGAAGCAATTTATTTTCAGACAAAATTTTATGGTAACTAAAAGATTGTTGAAAATTATTGTACACAAATGCTATACATTTTCAATAGGCTACAATGTTTTCCAATAGCCTTTCGGTAGCCATTAGGTTGTTTTTTACTATGTCACCAAATGCGATTTGTGTTCAGATTTATTTATTTTTTTGTGATTACTTAAATGTTGTTTGACATTGTCAACCTATTGTCTGCTCAGAAATTGCTTTTGCGTTTGGAGGAAACGATAGCAACTACTTCTCTAGTATATTGGACGTTAGGCCTATAACAAAATAGGCCCCATGCTTTGCTTATCAAATTATTATTGATTTACACATCACAAATAAATCAAAATAACTGTGATGTTTTCTTTAAAAAAATATTTGGATTGTTCTCTGTGCAAAAAAAAGGTTGACCACCCTCAAAGACATTGTAAAATTGTCACAGTTTAACAGCTGAAAATAATGATGACATTGATGTTTAATTTTGCTTATAGAATTTTCTCAGGATCACTGACAGTAATACTGTGTTTTACAATAATCTGGATGATGTTTGTCAGCTGCTATTGATCTGACCAAATTTTTGACCTCTGTGTTGTATTGTGTCATGTGTTTTTAGACACGTGTGAGCATCTGAAACGTGAGTGCTAGTCGAGGAGTGCAGGAGAGTGTGTGTGGGTGTATTGAGGTTGTTGTAGAGTGTGTGTGAGTGTGTGTGTTAGAAGGCCTGTGATTGAGTGCCATGTGAATTTTGTCCATGTGCCACTCTCGTGAGTATCTGTGTGAGAGAGACTTGGTGGGGGGGATTAATTGCTTAATCATTTTTATTCTTATGACAGTAATTAGGTCACATAGCAGGCTCTAAACTGGGGCCAGTAGTTATTGAGGTTCTCAGAGCAGAGAGTCAGACATATTTGCATGACAATCTTCACGGAGATGCTTAGATCTTGACCTTCTTAAACACAAATTTATGGAGCTTATAATACAATACATAGCCTACTTTGCTAAAATGTCACTGCAGATATTCTTTACAACTTAAAAGTAGCTACTTAAAAGTACGTAAACCTTAATTGTACAGTAACTTTAACGAATAAGCACAAGTCAACCTGCCATACCAAACAAGACCACAGGGAGACGCCAAAGGACTGCATACACAGATCCATGCAGAATAACTAAACACACCAAAATACAAATGAAAAATGAAACCATTCTGAATGTGTGGAAACTCAGCGATTGGAAGGCGGGTCGATGTCATCAGTGAATAGTTCCTCTGTCAGAATAAGCGAATTTGAAGCATTTGATGGCCATATGTACATAACTGATCCTCAGAAACTTCTCCAAAACACGCTTCTTCAGCGAGCATCTGTTGGGTACATTAATTTTGACAACTACATGAATATACAGAACTGTGTTCAAGCTGAAATATGATGCTATAGCGATCGGACGCGAGCAGTGAGACGTGTCGCGACAAAAGACAGCAGCACCTATTTATTATAATCAATACTGTCTACACTGAATGCAAAATTCCCAACAGCAAACGGATTCCCCGTTATTCCTGACGTAGTCCAAGCTCTTTGCAACAGGCGCTTTGTCGCTTCAAGCAGTCGCGTCTGTATTAGTGTTGCGCCGCGCCGCATCCAGTGTAGGAAATATCACTGATTATAATAAATGGGCTCTACTGTCTTTTTTGCTTTCGCTTGCGTCTTGTGTAGACACGGTGGCATGCTAATCACTTTCACACCAAATAAACTTTAAAACAAACAGTTTTAAACAGTGAGACTGCCAACCTAACATATAAGTAGGCCTATATAAACCATAATTGGCCAAAATGCTTCGTTTGACTTTTCGGAGATCATCTACTCATCCCTGTGGATTACCTCTAACCTACTTTCTCTACAATCTGAATTTTTGCATATTGAATTTTAGAATATTGAATTTGATGTTCCGAATGTCCTCTTCATCTCGAAAACTTGAAGCTATATTTTTAAAAACTGGATATTTGCTGTCTAAGATTTCAGAACAAAAAAATTGCTGTTTGAAAATTCGTCTATAAAACTCTGCCATAAAAACATTCAGTTGTGTTAAATTTCAAATGTTTAATATTCAAGTTCAAAAAATCTAATTCAGAACTATGTTAAATGCCTCACAATATTCAGTTTTGTTAAATTACACTTGTCAATAATTCAAATTTACGCAATACAAATTCAATTTGTCATATTATAAACTCCATACAAATTAATCCAACAAAATTACGAGAGAATTAATGTCAATGGAAAGATTATAAAAATATGTGCAAAGCCAGCTGAAGTATAGGACACAGTGCAACCAACATGCCTGCACTGCAGTGCACACACATGTATTATTGCTTTAAAATATTATCTAAGACCGCATCAAACTGTATTTTAGTAGCATTGATATAATCTCATAGTTTTTGTTAATATTTTTAAATTTGTAGTAATTTTATTGTGCGTTTTGTCATTTTTAAATACAGTTTTTTTTTTTATATAGTTTTTATTAATTGTTTTTTTATTCATTTTAGTTTATTTAGTTTTAGTTATTTTAGTACATCAAGTTAAACCAAATGAAAATGAGAAATGTTACTTTGGTAACTAGCTGATAAATATATATTTCATATTGTTTCAGTTAACGTTTATTCATGAAATCACTTGATTTTTCTTTCACTTGACATTTGTTCTATGAATTATTTGTTGATAAAATGCTTATACTTAATTCTCCAAGCTTCAGAGCAAATAGGATAAACTTGTACTATATTAAAGGCCTATACTTAAAAAAAAAACTCTATTGACCTCTGACCAAACTGTGCTTTTCCTCAAGCTACTGATCTCTAAATACCTGCAGGGACAGTGATTGTACTCGCAGCTGCACAGTAAACCTGCAACAGCTCTGCAACTGCTCTCTCTGGCTCTCAGCTTCAGTCTGTCCATCTGGAGCCGCTCTTGCTGAAGGAGGTAATGCTGAATCTTTTGAAAGATTTTAGAAACCTAAAATCTCCAGGCAGAAGGAGAAGGAGTCCAAAATTTGGACTATAAATTGGCTTGGATTCAGTCCCTAGATTAGTCAGTCGACATCCTGGCTGCAGAGATTTTGCATCAAATAGGAATCAATCAGACTACGCTGTGTGTGGATTTAGTGTTAAGTTCATTTTTTTCTTCTGTCTGTGTGCACAAGCTGTTCATCATCCACAGTTATATAAAAGCTGTAATGCAATCTAATGAAGACAACCCGCATCTATAATAGCGTTTTTATGAGTATGCCTGTCCATTAGCATATGTGTGTGGCAGTAGTCCACAGAATGGAATTTATTTTTGGTAGGTCTGAAAATGAACCTGCTCTTTCTATGATGCTGAGAGTAGGCAGCCCCTTGCATAACAGGTAAGCCAGTTTCAGATTGAGGATGAGATGGAGAGGATGAAAAATAGAGGGGAAAGTAGATTTCTCTATCCACCTACTCATATTCATGCTGTCTCCGGCGTTTTCTCTCCTCCCACGTGCATCCTGTTGTGTGTGTGTGTGTGTGTGTGTGTGTGTGTGTGTGTGTGTGTGTGTGTGTGTGTGTGTGTGTGTGTGTGCACAGACGTCAGTGAGATCTGTCACTGCGTAACACTACGTACATGGTGATAAAAGGATGGAATGTTAGGATATTAAGAGAGATGGACAGAGACTCTTTTAATTACATAAAAATTAAATCATTTGAGATTTTTTCTGCCCAGCTAAATAGGTTTTAACTTTTAAGAACATTTTGCTAACCAGGGTTGTGGGTAATGCATTATGAAACAAGTTACGTAATCAGATTACTTTTTCAAGTAGGCCTAGGCTAAATAGTAAAGTAGTGCGTTACTTTTTGATTTAAAAGAGCTTTTTTCAAATAAGTATCTTTGTTTTCCCAATTGATGACTGACAGTTCTCCTGTCCCTGTGTTGAGAGAAATCAGGAGTAGCCTAAGTGCACTGTAAACATGATGATTACTAGTTCTAGACTAAATGTGAACAGTGAACATGCATTTACTCATCTCACTTGCACAAAAATAGAATCAGTATTCCTCAAAATGAATTAAAACAATGAAATGCAAACTCAGAATATGATACAAATCTGCATTAAGTATATAACACAAATATCCCTTATGTATTTAATCCTATTTTATTAACCAATGTCTTTTCAGCTGACCTTTGATTATCCAATTCAACCATACTAATAAGCAGAAATTACTCTAGATAAACATAACATTTGTGTTATTTATTTATTTATCCAAAGAGAATTGAACTTTATTCTCCTTCGTCCTATTCTTCATGCAATCCAGAATGGCAGCACAACTGAAAGGTTTGTTTGAGCTGCGCCCTCTACTGTACAGAAGTTAATTTACTTTTAAATAGAAAATAGAACTTTTTTTATATTAAAAGCAAACAAGCAAGCCCAGCCTAGATTTAAAAAGTAACGCAAAGATAACCTTATTACTTTCCATAAAAATAACTAACAAAATTGGTTGCTAATGTTACGTTATGGAAGCAATTATTGTAGTAATGTTCTCTCTAACATCTAACAACATTAAAGACCATAACTTTGAGCAAATATTTCTGGAAGAATTTTTTTCAGAACAAAGTTTTAGTTTTTTACTGCATTTTTTTGGTTTGTTTTGAAAATGTATATATCTCAGACCCAGATTTGTGTTTTTTAAATATTGAAATCCACCATTAAATAATCAGAATCAGAATCAGAAAGAGCTATGTATGTATGCCAAGTATGTTTGCACATACAAGGAATTTGTTATAGTGTTCCTTTATTGTGGAGTAACAATGGTCCAGTATATTACTGTCCCTGGTGGGACATGTAACATGCTGTCTGTATTTTGGCAGTTCACGGGAAAGATTTGCTTTATTAAAGTCCCCGAGAATGATTAAAACAGAGTCCGGGTGTTGTTGTTCTGTCTCTGTGATCAGATCAGCGAGTTTCTGTAAAGCTGAGCTCACGTGTGCTTGCGGAGGAATGTAGACACTGACGAGAATGAACGAGTGAAACTCCCGCGGCGAATAGAACGGCTTACAGTTAATGAAAAGCGCTTCTAGATCGGAACAGCATATCTGCTTTAATGCTGTGACATCTGTACACCACCTTTCGTTGATGTAAAAACATGTCCCGCCGCCGCGTGATAATAATAATTATTATATTTTTTTAAATATATGGTGTAAAATGATTTCTATCAGTTTTTTAAAATCAGTTTCTACCACAATGCATTTTTTCCACTAATAAAGTTTTTTTTTTATGTTTGTGTCTTTGGTTAGCAAGGAAACAAAATGATCAGTGAATAGCATGCTTGAGATGAAATATGAGACATGATGTGTGAGGACACTTGACATGATGTGTGAATGGAATATTTTTATTGCATTTCCAATGAGCTGTAATTTTCTCAAATTATGCAAGTGTAAAAATATGCCATGAATCCTAGCTAGAAAGAAAATGTTTAAATATAATGTCCACCACAGATTGTTATCAAACATATCTAAAATGTGGTGTAAATGATGTTTCAGATAAATTATACACAGATGAGAGTATGAAAAGCATGTTTTAGGAGAGTTTAATTATGAAACATCCACATGGCAGACATAGGCCTACCGATTTTTTGATGAAAAACATGCAAGTTTTAGAGGAAAGGAGCCATTTGAAAGCATTTTATATTTAACTTTGCTCGCTCATCAGACAATAGGCCTAATACACTTTATTTTTTCATTGCTTTCATAATTTTGTGCTATTTTTAGCAATGTTAAAGTCAGTTTATTTTCAAGATCAAAAAATAGGCCTGCATACAGAATTTCCAGATGAACAAGAACATGATTTTAAACATTTCCCTAACCCCACCTATACATAATCATAACCCTTTCCTCAATAAATCAGTCTAAACACTCACATCACACTCACAAACACAACACAACACATTTACATTAACATATTCACTGTGGCACAGCAATTATCACATCAGTGCTGTCATTAGCACTCATTTAGTGTCAGCAGAGAGTGAGTAACAACATCCTCTGAGGATGTGTGTGCATTTCTGCCTCATTGTGTTTCTTTAGCAAGCTGCCAAGCATTCTCTTTTATTGTTCTGTTCAAACATTCACACACACAAAATCGCAAAGTTAAATAGCAAAAATCTATTAGTATAATGGTTAAAAACCTTGGCTTGTAAAAAGATAATTAACATAAAATAATGACCTCCAGGTTGCTTCAGGAAATGAGCAAATGAACCGAGTAGACGTATCAGCTAAATATAAGCAAATATATTAGGCTATAGACTATAACAAATATTTTATAACCACATTTTCTCTTCTTCAACAGCTATACTATAAACTCTTTACTATAAACTAATTTCCTTCATTTCTAGCTATACTTTCTTCGTGATTTTTATATTTTCCTAATGGATTCATAAATTCAACTCAAGTTTCAATCACAAACAGTTCAGTAAAATCATTGTATGTGCTTTTACGAGTAAGAAAGAGCTCGTGCCGTGGCGCCAC